TATTAAACTCTTTATAGAGCAAATTGCTTTGAAAGCTGTCAAAGTTTTTTGCAAACGTACAAAATACTGCAGTGCAAAAAGCAAATTATTTTCATGAAGTATCTGTCAGTTGAAGTCGTCAGTTCATCTCACAACAACAAATTTTAAATTTGACCAATCAGTGTTCGCTATTCACGACAGTCCGCTATATTTTGAGATCAGTGAGGATGACCACCCATGAACGGTGAACCATGCGCCCGCGATATTTGATGAACTTTAGACTCCGCTAATGCTTTCGTTTCCCCGGGTGTAAATAGCCGGGGGGAATTAGTACCCTCGCACGGCGCTTCGCGCCGCCGGCTCGGGGATTATCCAAGTCATTACAAACATGGCCTGGTCACACCTGTGCCTAAAGCATACCCAGCAACTGACGTTAGTAACGATTTTAGACAAATCTCTGTTTTGCCACATATTGGGAAAATCGTAGAGAGGGTACAACTACAACTCAATCAAAATGACATCATACTACGTCCCAGTCAACATGGTTTTACTAGTGGCCGCTCTACTACATCGGCTCTGAAATCCATCACACAGCCATGGTTTAATGCTACTGACAATACCTGCCGTGACAAAGCAGACATCCATGCCCTCTTTATTGACTTTAAAAAAGCCTTTGATCTAGTTGATTATGGGATCCTGTTGAATAAACTTGCATTGATGAATGTTAATAAAAGCTTCTGGTTGTGGGCCAAAAGCTTCTTATCTGGTAGAACTCAGCAGGTCAAGATAAATCAAACACTTTCATCGATCGAGGGTTGCCCAGCTAGAGTACCGCAAAAATCTGCTCTTTCGCCGACTCTATTTAATATCCACATTGACGACTTAGATACGAGTGTTTCTGAAGATCTTGAGGTGAGCACATATAAATATGCCGATGACTGCACACAAAGCGAATGCATCATGAAGGGCGAGTGTAGCAACATGCAGAAAGTCTTAGACTCCGTTCAGAATTGGTCAAACGCTAATAGAATGAAGTTGAACGCAAAGAAAACGAAAGATATGTGGATTTGCTTTGGGAAATCTATTCCACAGCGTCCCAATCTTTATACCGGGGATGTTATGATCGAAAGAGTTAATTCATTCAAGTTACTTGGTGTTAGCTGTCAAAGTAACATGAAATGGAATTCTCACATCAAAGAAATTACTCGTAAGGGAAACAGGAGACTGTGTCATCTAAGGCAGTGCAGGAAGGCTCACCTTCCTACTGAAGTAGGAATGGCAACTTACTGCACCAAAATTCGTCCACTGCTTGAATATGCCGCACCAGTTTGGGGTGGCCTACCTCACTATTTAGTGAACGACCTTGAGCGTATTCAAAGGAGAAGCTTACGTATTATTGGTTTACCGGTCGATACACTTCCCCCGCTTAGTGAGAGAAGAGATAAGCTAACTCTTCGAGAAATGGAGGCAATTACTCAGGACGTAAACCATCCCTGTCACCACCTTGTCCCTATCGCACAGAAGCATGACTATTCCACTAGAACTAAAGAAAGAGGTTCTAATGTAGGTCGCATTATTTCCAGAACCGAAAGACATAAATCATCGTTTATGCCTCGTGCAGTTAAACTTTTTAATAATAAACTTTAAATTACTACTGTAATAAACGGTTCTGTAAATTTAGGCTGAATGCAGGTTGCATTATTCTCTGAACTGAAGAACATAATCGTCGTCTGTGCCTTTGGCAACTGAACCTTTTAAAAATGAAAATTTTTATTGTAATATAGATGGTTTTATAATATTTATGAATTTGTAAGTCCACTGTATTTTTTTACTTAAGGTGGATTATTATTAAAGCTTTACATCAATACTAGATTTCTAAAGATTTTTGTATTTTATTGTAAGATCTTACAAACATCGTAATTTATAACGAACTCAATCCAATGAATTATGTCATCACCACCAAAACTTTGTCTGATAGTTGTATTGCCCTGATACTTGCATATTCTGATCTTCCTATATTATCCAATATTATCACCAGTCACCATATTATCAGCATATTGTCCAGAATATGTGTTGACATGGCGTTTCTTGAAGTACTGTAGATGTCACTCATGCATCGCTATGATTTTTGAATTGTGCCTTTATCTGCAAAATGAAATATTGTAAAAAGATGCAAGTATAAATTTAATTAAACAACATTTAACTCTAGCTATAAAGTATGAACATGCTACCAGCCCAATCTGACACTGAGCACTGTTATTAAATGCTGAAAAATGGAAAAGAAAGGTTGAAACTTGTCGATATGACCTCAGCACAATGGCTGATTGCTTTTTCATATACCGTCACAACTGCAAGGGTTAATGTTGTATGGTGATTGCACTGATCATCAGGGACGTAGCGAAGCATCTGACATTGGGGGGGGGGGGGATATCGGAGAACTTTACCTGAAATCTGAACTTCAATGTTAAAAATCTAAGAAATTTCTGATTGATTTCCACTGAGATACTAAGGCCCGGTTTAGACGGCGAACTTTTCATGCGCCGAATCTAATTGTCGTAGATACGGCAAAATATCGGAAGCTGATTTAGACGTCGAACTTAATTGTACCGTACCAAATTGCGAGGACACGATATTGGACATATTTACAATGCAAATATATGATAATCATATTATGATGTTAAAAAATAATTTGCATTAGGTTCGGCGCATGAAAAGCACGGCGTCTAAATCAATGTCGAACCTGTGTCGCATATACGACTTGTCTTGTCGCATCTTCGAGTCGTGTCGAACTTAATCAAAACCTGTCGAACTTAATTGATTTAGACGCCGCTCCAGCGTCGCACTTAATTCTTGCATTAGATTCGGCGTATGAGAAGTTCGCCGTCTAAACCGGGCCTAAATTTCCTAAGAAAAGGGGTAGTGGGGGTCCTCCCCCCCAAATGTTTACATTCTTGAAACTCCACTACTGCATTTCTGGTGTTTTCTAAAGCACATTTGCATACAAATTGGATCTAAATTGACTGTATCAAAAATAGCTATCATTTCACAAAAATAACAACTTTATTAATTATAAAGAAAGAAACAAAAATTTTATCTGAAAATGTCAAAATTTATACTTGAATTTTAACTGAGTTTTACAGTGGCCCCAAACCCTTTGTCGATCACTACATCCCTGCTGATCTTAGATTCCTGGTTAGGTCTAATGAATGTAAATACATTTTCACTCAATTATTTCCATGTACAAGATCCTTCAAGTGTACGTAAACAGCCTGAGCTTCCATTGCACGAACCAGCATCTCAATAATAGCACCCATTAATTTGCAATCAGTGCAATGCCAGTGACCATAAAAGACTATACTAATAAAAAATAGTCCAGCCTGTTTTCTGTGTTAATTGTAGTTTTATACCTGCAAGTGGATAGGGGAGTTGTAGTATATGCCAGCAATGGGCTTGCTTCTTATAAATTTACCTACATAATGATATATTAAAATTCAAGATCTGTGCTAGCACGTTTGATTATAAAACAGTATTATAAACTCACTATGATGCTTTATATGAAGCGTGATCAAAATCTCTTTGACCAGAATCAGAGTCCAGAGCAGATATGAATAACAAAGACAGTGTCAACAATGTTTTAATATATTATAAAATTAAATGACAGATTCACAAATTTTAGGCCTGGCTAAACATAAATATCGATTGAAATAACAAAAATTAACTTGCCGTTTGCTGTGAAAAATTCCTTCGAGCATTCCTTCCAGTGTTGCCAACTGTAATTTTGCTAAGTGAGGCATCTGCCAGTATTATTAAAGTCGTTAAATACCTTTTCTGTGGGATTTAATATCATAGATTAAGTACATACTTCATCTGTAATGCCATGAACGACAGTTTCCGAAGTAAAGTCGACAATCTCCGTCACAACTTCACATATCCAGGCTTTCTGGCATCCTTGTGTAGAAAAGTAGGACTAGAATTTTAGGAAAAGTAGGAATAAAGTAGGAAAATGTGTAGAAAAGTAGGACAAAAGTAGGAGTTTTGGAGATGCAAATAACACAAAAATATACAAAATTGGCCCCCTAGGATATATGTGGTAAGGGGTAGACCATTAGATATCTGATGGGGAAGTTGTGTGAATTTTTGGTGCTCAATATTTTTATGTACTCATTCATCTATGCAGGATTTTTTCTCAAAACTTTTAAATTGCATCGGTATAAAAGCTAAGGCATCTGCTCTGCAGCAACACAATTCAAATGCATGTATTGGGCTACACAATGCACCAATCCACACTACGGCAGGAGCATATATCAGGGCCGTAGGAAGCTCTTTTCGATTGGGAGGGGGCTGAAAGCGAGGGCCGAAGGCCCGAGGAAATTTTTAAATTTAGAGTCTCTGAAATGCCATTTCCTGGACTTTGGGGAAGATTTGACAGAATTCTAATGGTCAGAAAACAGCGTTTTAGTATGTCGAAATTTACAATTTAGTAGTACTAAATGGGCGAAGGCGTATTTAACTATATATTGGATAAGTTGCAGGAAAGTATGGGTAATATCTTCATTCTTTGCAGTTTGCATGTCATGGATTAAATGATAAAGGTCTGCATGATTTTGAAAAAAAATGATTATTAGCAAATTATTGGGGAGCTGCAGCCCCCCGGTTGCTACGGCCCTGTATATATGATGCTTGATTAACTGGGGGGGAGTTGAATATTTGGAATCTCTAGATCGTCGGAAATGGCACTTTCAGAGTCTTCATTAATTTATTGATTATGATTCTAGAGATGCTATGAAATTATATACTCGGAAAATGTACTTCTTCTCCTCCTGAGATCTTATCATCTGGGACACAAATAGGGAATAAAAATTACGAGTCCTATAGATCTAATTACGAGAGCTATAACATACTGACTCCCCAAGCTGTCTTAAAAAAGTAGGATTTTATGAGAAAAAGTAGGAAAAAGTAGGAAAATCAAGCAATTTTTAATAAAAAATAGGAAAAGTAGGAAAGTTGAAGAAAAGTAGGAAAAAGTAGGAAAAGTAGGATGGCAAGAAAGCCTTATATATATATATATATATATATATATATATATATATATATATATATATATATATATATATATATATATATATATATATATATATATATACAATATATATTGTTATTATTTCAATCTTAAGATTTTATCAATCGCTTGCATGCACAGTGTTTCACGCTTCCAAAGCGATCTTCAGGCGATACTACTCTAAATAGTTTGTTTATATATATATATATATATATATATATATATATATATATATATATATATATATATATATATATATATATATAGTATCGCCTGAAGATCGCTTTGAAAGCGTGAAACACTGTGAAAATGTTCTCGAGTGTGTTTATATACTTTCCATACCCAGCGTAAGCAAATTATATAATACACAATACGGGAAATTATGTAATAATACGTGAAAATTATATAATACACACTCGAGAACATTTTCACCTTAACATATTACGGAATGTACAATTACACAACTCAACACTCAACATGTATATATATATATATATATATATATATATATATATATATATATATATATATATATATATATATATATATATATATATATATATATATATACATATATATATATATATATATATATATATATATATATAGAAAAGGTTTCAATGTGCAACCAAAAGAGACATTTATAACGTAAAATAAAATAAAATAAAATAAAAGCCACTCAAATTTTGCACAAACGTTTTCGCTTTAATGTTAGCTCCTCAGGTGCATATTTACAATGAGTGGAATTTAGTTAGTTTATCTATTATCTACGTTCTATGATATCATATTATAATAACTATGTTAGGAATGCATATATTTACATGGTGTGAAGTCACCCGTTAAAAACATTCTATTGATCTGAATGTAAGCATAAACTTAATGGTTTTTTAATTAGCGTTCAGATCCGGATTCAGTATATTGATAAGTTCTTTTTCTTTCATCTCCCTAAAAAGTCTGTCCGTGTTAATGCATTGATATATAGGCATTATTTTGAAAATTCCGTTGTTACACATATTTAAGTGTTCGCTTACTTTTAGATGTCTATACTCTTCGTGTCGAATTTGTTCCTTTTGCAATGTCACTCTTTTTCGTAAGTTTTCTGTCTGGCCGACGTAGAAGCTGTCGCATTTTGAGCAAATGATCACGTAAATGACATATCTCGCTTTGCAGTTCATCGTTGAATTGACTTTCCAGGTTTTTCCGCTCTTTAATGTAACAGACTTTCCTGTGATTAAAACATCGCATGTTCCACATCGCTTTTCCTCGCATTTTGTTACACAGTGTTCTCTGTCCTCTGAATTGAATTGTGCTTTTGTCAAGTATCGCTTCAAGTTCTTCGGTTGGCGTTTGCTTACAATGAGTTTTGTTCTGTCTAATACTCGTTTCATTTTCTCGGAATTGTTTAGAAATTTTTCCAATTACTTGAGGATTGTTGGGATTATGAGTTATTACTAAAGGCAAGACATTGTCATCAGTTTTATGTTTGGTGCCCTCAATTCCTCAATGTTCTTTGATGAAGCCTTCTGTATTCCGTTTTTTATAAGCAATTTCGGATAGTTCTGCTTTTGTAGGAAATATTCTAGTTCATCAAGACGCTTCTTCTTTAAATCTTGATTTGTTACAATTGCACAGATCCGTCTTGCCAGTGTGTAGGGAATGTTTGATTTTGTATGTCCAGGATGACATGAATGATAATCCAGATATTGGTGTGTGTCCGTTTGTGGTATATATATATATATATATATATATATATATATATATATATATATATATATATATATATATATATATATATATATATATATATATATATATTGTTGGGAATATGGCAGCATGGTTGACTGGCTATTGTATTTGTAATTTGTATTGTGTAATTGTATTGTGTTTGTAAATGTATTGTTCTGTACTGTGTAGGCGTAATGCAAATCAGGCTCTATATAAGCCCGAGTCTAATAAACAAGTAGAGATATATTTTGTGATGTGATATTTTGGAAGAATTATATGTGTTTTTGAGACGACTGTTTTTCGATTGATCGATAGAATATCGCGGCGGAACGCGACATTTGGCGACCCCGCCAGGACTCAGTTGAGTTATATTTTACTCGGCTGAAAGATGCCCTTGACTCGAGCACAAGCTGCTCAGGAAGAAACAAACGGCAATGCAGAAGAACAACAGCATAAAGAACCGGAGCTCGAACAAGTTCGCTCGCCGTTCGAAACAGAGTTGTTGACTACAGTACAAGAACAGCGAGACCTTTTAAAAGAATATAAAGACCAACAGGACGGCAGAGTTTTCGAAGTGGTCAACATTCTAAACGATGCAATACAAAACCTATCAAACGAATTTGCTCGTGTTTGCGATAAGAACAGACAACTGGAGACTGTTGTTTTTCAATTACGCGATCGTGTGGAATCACTCGAATCTGAAGTCAAATCAAGCCAAGAGATTTTGGAGAAAACTAATGCTGGAGTTTTCGCTTCCTTGCATCGAATGATTAAAAGCGAGCTTCGAGAAGAGTTTGAATCGGTTTTGTCGGCGCGTGTAAAGACGGAAGAGACAACAAATAAAGGCTTAACAAACGTGTTAAGCGGGGCGGGACGAAGTCAGCTCGGTAAAGAAAAACAACCAGCAGAGTGCAACGTTACAACGGCTCGTGGGACAGATTATTCTGCTGGTCGCCCGGTTCAAAAACCTGCAGTATTTGACGGACGTAGTTCGTGGGAGGCATACGCGACACAGTTTGAAATTGTGGCGGAGATTAACCAGTGGGACGGTCCAGATAAAGCCGCCTTTCTGGCAACAAGTCTTAGAGGTCCAGCGCTCACGGTCTTATCAAATTTGCCGTCGGAAAGTCGTGTTCATTACCCATCATTACTGGCTGCGTTAGAAAGCCGTTTTGGAAATAAGAGGCAGTCTGAGCTGCATAGAATGAAGCTACGAAATCGTGTCAGACGTCGAGATGAAACTTTACCGGAGTTGGCAGAAGACATCGAAAGACTTGCCCGTCTTGCGTACCCTGAAGCCCCTACTGAAGTTTTAGAAACTTTAACGAAAGATCAGTTCATCGATGCTTTGAACGATGATGAAATGCGTTTAAGAGTCGCTCAAGCTAGACCTACAACTCTTAGAGCCGCGCTCGGAATCGCTTTGGAAATTGAATCGTTCAGCTTGGCCGCACGAAGAAGATTTAGGCCAGTGAGAACAGTGCATGAAACTCCAACTAAAACGAACGCGGAATGTTTTGTGGACCCCCAAGAGGAAACGTTGAAAAGGAATAGCGAGTTTTTAACGGAGTTGAAGAAAATGACGTCGGAGCTTCGTGAAGTAGTTAGAAGCGTGAATCGAAGAGGAAGAAATCAAGATGGATCACCGCCGAGAGGAAAAAGAAAGTGTTGGACATGTGGTTCGGAAGATCATCTCCAACGGGATTGTCGGTTGTACAACGCCGAGAAGAAGCGTACTGAGTCGGAAAACGAGCAAGAGTCGGGTCAAAGGGGTGGGGCCCGACGGTAAGACAAGACACCCCACGGAATCAGTCGAAGGGACAGAGGCTTGTACAAAGAAAAGATGGTCTTTGTGTGGAAGGGAAGCTCGAAGGCAAAGTGAT